AAAAAGGTATGTCATATTGAGGAAAATGAAAGCAAGCCATTTCCAAGAACTCATAGTTGTATGCTGTGTTATCTCTAATATGGCGACAGTGAGTGTATACAATATGAGATTGTTTCAAGAGAACAAATTGAAGAAGAGTGAATTCAGAGGAACACAAACTAGAACAAGAATCGGTATGCTTTAGTAATACGAAACTTTTGTCTTATAAGAACCAATGTATGATTGTCAAACATTACTTTTGTCTAAGAATCAGTGCATATCTAGAATACCTTGTACAAGTATGAGATACAAAAAGTGGAAAAATCAATACACAAGACGCGTATTCATTGATAACAATTTAAACACTAGTTTCAAATAATCTAAAATTAGGTATATAGATCATTTGACGTTTATGTAATTTTTTCTGCAATTATGGAAATTATATTGATTTTTCGGCTTTTATCTTGGAAGATCAACATTACGTATGAAACCACTAAAAGGACATCGAATAATTTATTAGACACTGTACGAAGTATTTGAAGTATATATATAAAAAAAATACAAATTTGGTAATATTTTTAAGTTTTCAACCAAACATTTATCAACTTTTACCAAATTCTGATAAAATTTTTATTAAAAGCTCTTTTAAATAGACCCTTAATTACGTCTAGGTTTGCCTACCAAAATTCAAGGATTTATCTACTTTTACTTTTCCACCATTGACTATGACTTTGATAGTGGAAGATTCCATACTTCTATGGATTTATTAAAGTTGATAGTTATTGTGATTGAGACGAGAGTGATACAGACAAGGTGTGAAACAGGGGAGGTACTTTCTCACCCTTGATTTTCCAAACAAGTCTTTTTCTCCTTTCAACACCGCCCATAAATTGATTTCCCGACTTCATTTTACGCGTTATTTCATTTTCATTTTAGAGTTTGTTCACTTAATTATTTCATTTTAAAGTTTAAATTGTTAGAAATTGACCACATTAGTTTCCTCTAAGAATTAAACTCCGTTAGTCGAACATTAGTTTCCTCTAAGAATTAGTCCATATCTAGAATTCTTGTTACAAGTATGAGATACAAAATGATAAAACACAATATATGCGTATTCATTGATAACAATTTAAACACTATTTTCAAATAATTTAAAATTAGGTATATAGATCATTTGACGTTTGTGTGATTGAGTTTTAGGTTTCATTTTAGAAGATCAACCTCACGTCTTTATTTATTAATTATTATTTCAGATAAAAGTGAAGCGGGATTTTATTTTTAATATTCTTTGCTAGATGGTGGCTCGTTTAGGAACACTAATCTTGAAACCTCGAATTGTTGAAACATCAAACAAGAGGTGTAACACATTAAATACTATTTTAAATTTTTAAATCAATCTAAAAATTATTTAATAATTAAAGAAAAAAAGCGTAGGCGAGGCGTTTTGCTCCTACTTCGCATTTAGTCGCCGCTTTTGGAACACTGAATTATTAAAAAGTATTCTTGAAATGTGTAAAGCCTAGTGTTTGTTTGATAGAAATTTGTCAGAGTTTTGTTAACTGTTCAATTGGTCAAATTTCAATTTTAACTGCACCTTTCATAGGATCAACAACATTAATCAACTGTTATCAAGATTTGCTAATTTATTTTTTTGTCAAAGACTTTGTCAAA